GACCATGCCGGGTCGGGTCAAGTACATACCAAATATAGTTATGGACTTAGACACTATATCCAACAAGTTCTAACTTGAGGCTCTTCGTTGGTTGAATCTCGAATCTTTTCAAGATCAATGTTGCTCCCACTAGCCCTTTTGGAAATCAGATCCTTCTCTTGGAAGACTGCCCTTTAAGAAACATACACTTTGTTCTTAAAAGGTTTGTTAAACAATATATCCAAAATGCTTGATGGGTTTTCCAACAAGATAACACATCTCTATTCTAAGTTCTAGATTGTCGAGCGCTTCACGACAAGTGTAAGCCTCATCATCGTATACTTCCATATGTGCTAGTATGTAATGAATCCCACTTCACATATCATAGAGTGTTTCATTAACCTTCTCAGTTAGTTGAGGCGTTTGACCTAAAGGGTTGAGTTGGTAGTTTTAGTTGGAGGTATGTTAGAATTTTATTAAGTTTTCTCATCGCGGGTCAGAATATATGTAACTCTTATGTATTATTGCTGGTGGGGTTTGCAGTATTATTAAATTTTATTTTGTACTCCAAGACTACCAAGTACAGACGAGGGGCAAATAGAAAACACCTGAGGTCAGGACCATTTTGGCAATTAAGCCGTTCTGAAATCCAACAACCCTATGCGGCCCTTCAAACTAGATTCTTCGTATCGTAAGTAGCCAAGAAGTAGTGTAATTAATAATTGTAATACTTTTATTTAGAAGCTAGTTGATATAGTTGTATTCCCCTTTTGAGGATACCAGTTCTCTATAGCCAGTTTAACTCTGATACCAATCTGTCACACCCCCGACCGAGGCGGCCAAACACGTCGGGTTGTGCGACTAAGTTCATGGAACACAGGTAAACTGAATATATAGTACAAGTGCACCAATAAACAAAATAGCATTTGTGTTCCATCTTGATTTTTGAATACAAGGTTTTTACAGATAATAATAGTACATGAATTGCCTTAACAGATAGGCAGATAATACAACAACTAGTAAATTGTGTCATGTGTAATCCAATCCGTCTTGAATGTCTGTTTAGTGATTTCCTGAGAATACATGTAGTTTTGAGGGTCAACACAAGGTTGGTAAGAGTTACAGGTTTTCTACTAACATCAGTAATACTTTTAAAAAGTTTAAAAAGTATTTTCTTTGTAAGTATAACAATACTAAAAGTAGTGTTTGTAATGAATCTTTGAAAGCCAAAATGTATCTTTGTATAAGTAAATCCATACTTAAAACTGTGTTTGTGAAGAATACATTAATATATTTAAAAACCAAACTGTACTGTTACATAAGTAATTCCATTCTTAAAATAGTTTTAAAGCAACCAAGCCCATGGTTTTTAGTGAGTGAGTGTAAGAGAGAGAGAGAGAGAGAGAGAGAGAGAGAGATTCCAGTTAATGTTTATAGTGAGTCCAATAATCGAGCTATGTGACTGAATGTACCCCCTACAATGCTTCGTTGGACGTTCTAGTAATAATTGTAGACACTTATCACCCGCTTCGATTGATCGATTGAGACTGTAACTAGCAACTGCAGGTAGGGATGTCAACCACACATAGATGTGTACATATGTACCTTGCTCCAAAGATTAACGGTTATAGTAGTGTGGGTATGCTAAGTGTTTAGACTCAGCTAATGAATATAGTCTCACTAAAAAGCCCTTAACTAAAGTATGTGAATAACTCTCAGCCCTATCTTAATTGTTGTTAAGTTACTAGGTATAATGAATTTCGTTGTATAAAGTTAATAAAAACCGAGTATGCTTGGTAAGTATGTAAAAGTGTAATGTACTCGCTTTTATAAAGAAGTACGTTCCAAAGTAATGAACATATGTGCCTGTATAAACTTTATGTATTTAAACATATAAATATACGTGCATAGTAATAGCTTGAATCCTTGAAATACTACAAAGTTTTATGACGTACTTGTTATGATATACAATGTCACATAAAAATAATATATTTTTGTATCATATAGCATTTGTTGTGTGGACTAGTTATTTCACGATAAAATAACCATAATACATGTACGAAATATTTATACTAGTTTATTTATAACAATATGTTACACTTTGAGAAGCTTGTCTCGAGAAACCACAAGACCATGATTCTTGAACTTTGACAAACTTTCGGGACCATTTCATAACAAATTTAAACTATTGGGGATGTTGGGTAATTTAATTAACCAAGGTAGGACTGATTTTTTTAAGAATTTCCAAGGAAGGGGCTGAAATGCTTATTTTTATTCAAGGTTTGAAGATTGGGATTTATTATGTTAAAAATAACCAAAGGACGTGGATATTTTGAATAAATGGATTCAATGTTTGGGGGTTTGGAACTTGTTTTTAAAAATGAATGTTGCATAGGGGTTATTTAGTCATTTAATCGAAGTTGAAAGGAATTAGGGCTTTTATGCCCCCGTCGTCACTTGTTGTTCGATCAAAGAAAGGAAACGGGAATGACGAAATCAGATAGAACGCGTGGGCAGATGAACGAAGACGGTGAGAAGGAAACATGAAGGCGGCGACGCTGCATCCGGGTCCTTGCTCTTTGCAGGTCACAAAGAGGACCGAAGGAAGAAGAAGCTCGCAGGCGGCTAATCCTGATGTCTTGGTCGATCGATCGCGAAGAGGGACGCGTCTCCAGGGTCGACGAAGCCGAAGGAAAAGAAGGGAGAAGCAGCGAGGCTGCTCGTGGCCTTGGTGGGTGTAGTGAGGGGATGCTCAAGCAGCTTCTCGGCTGCTTGCTTCGGCTGTGGTAGCGAGATGCGAAGGAAGTCCGGTCGGCAGCAACATGTCGTAGGTGGGGGCTTCGGTGGTGTTTGCTTGACGGAAGAAGAAGAGAAGTGAGAGGGGTGGGGCTGTTGCCTCGATGGTTCACCGAAGCATCACCACCGTCGGTGGTTCGTGACAGAGGACGAAGAAACAGGCAGAAAATCAAGGAAGAAAGGTAAAAAAAAAAATTCCAACTTTGTTTCAATTAACAACAAATGAAATGGGAAAAAGAAAAATGCCATTCTCTTGATTTCACAGGTAATCGACCCCTCTAATGGGTGTGTTCTTGACTAAAATCTCTTGGATGAATGTTTGGTTTATTCATTTGACAGGGAAAGAAAAGGAAGAGCGGAAAAGGGCTGAAGATGATGACGAATTCAGGAGTGTTTGTAGGTTTTGATGTTTCATTTGACAGCTTCAATTGAGAAAGGAAACACGTCAATTGAGAAAGGAAACACGAGATGGCAAAAATTGACCCAACCCGGACCCAACCCAAAATTAGCGGGTTGGGTTGAGATTTTCAACCCATTAAACTTAAATGGGTCAACCCCTCTGACCTATTTAATTAAATAGGTTGGGTTGGATAAAAATTATCAACCCGTTTTCAACTTGTCAACCCATTTAACTTTAATATATATTTAATTTAATATTATTTGAATATTATCATGTATTAATCAAAGTAATAATTTGTAAATTATAATCTTGCATTATTGTTATCTATGTTTAATAAAATTCAATCATAATTTCCATCATTTTTTTAACGTCGATAGTACTGGTCACTCTCCAAAAACACTGTGAAACTAAACATTTTTAATGTTATTTGAACAATTTATTTGTATTTATAAATTAGAATTGTGCTTTTGTCATAATTATGAAGTTTTATTTACGTTTTATAATTTAAGTGGTACAATATTTAATTATATAATTTATTTAATTGATTTTAAATGGGTTAACCCAAGTTTAACCTATTTATTTAATAGGTTGAGTCGGGAACTATATAAACAGGTCAACCCAGTGACAATCTATTTATCTAAAAGGCTGGGTTGGGTTGGAAATATCAACCCATTTAAATAAACAGGTTGGGTTGGGTTGAAATTTTCAACCCAATTATTAAATGGGTTGAACCTGAACCCAACCTAGATCGACCCATTATCACCTCTAGAAACACGTTTCGTTTATGTGTAGCTTTGGGTAACTTCAAGTGTGAAAGTAACGCTTCAATTTGGTTGTCAATTAAATTCTAAGATTGGTGTACTTTGTATGAAACTTGCAGCAATGTATTGGTTTAATCATTTATGTATTTGTGTAATGTATTGGTTTAATTATTTATGTATTTGTGTGTAGGTATTATTGAAAAATTGAATTGGTTCAATATGTATGTAATTTGTATGTATTGATGTATATTTTTAATAGATTTAATGTACATTTTTAGGTTTAATAATATTGTATGTATGTGTGTATTTGTTTGAGACTTTTGAAGGTAATAATGCGTAAACAATATTTATACACTCTCATATTAAATGTTTATTATGTATGTTTTTGAGATATATAAAGAATTGGAGATTTATATAATAAGTGTCGAAATTGTCATATATGCTAGTAATTGGTATTAGGGAAATGATATGTGACTAATATATAAATATGTATATATTTAGTGTTGTTGTATAATTTTTAACTACATAACCTATATACATTGTGATTACATGATTGACTATTATTATTTGAGATTCCTAAATAGCTTATGTATATAAACACATATATAGGTCTCAAACCATTTCCAAACTAATTCTTTCGTATTTTTATAAATATTTTCTAACTTTCTCGATTTGTGTGCCATCGATCTCGATATCAAATAATTTTTCTTGAAAAAAATGAAGAATAATGGTCTCGGTTACAAGGATTCCAAAACTCAGACGGATTAAATTTTCGAGTTGCAGCACTCCCAGAAATCGCGTTTAAATATTCGTGTTTAATTGGACCCGAAACGTCCGGTTTTTCGACTTTTGCATTTATTTTTGTTAAAAATATTTTGATTATAAAATTAAATATTTGACTATAACCTGAGTCCAAAAATGCTTTTGGAATTTCCATATGAGGTGTGCAAGTCCCTTAACGGATAGAAACGGTTTTAGAAGTTTAAAGAAAAATAGTATTATACTGGTTTAGATTCTTAAAACTGTCGTATCTTTTGTATACGAGCTCCGTTTTGGATGTTCTTTATATTTTCGAAAACAGGGAAACATACAATACAAAAATAGAGTATTTTTTTTGCTCACAACTGCTTAATACGAAATTTCAGTTTTTTAGACGCATTAACTAAGGTTGCAGTTTGAGCTATTTGATTCGTTTGTCAGTTTACATATTTGGAAGCAAGATACAATCAGGTATCTTATAATATTTTGAATGAACTCATTTATTTTACAAAAGATGCACTAAAACTTAATGAGTCAAATTACCAAGAGATTTATTGTGAACTTAACCGTTCACAGTCTTTGACCTAACTTCCGGGATGTCATAGTATATTACCATTTCTTTTGTTTAGTGGGGCCCATTAGTCATTTGTGTTTGGAAGATATAACACTGCATGTACACAAATAGCAATGTACGGCGATTTTAGTACCAACACGAAATTGTCCTAATGTTTTTAATTGTCAAAAGGGCATTTACCTCCTACATTACTAAAATTGCCCCTAAGTCCTACATTAAATACCCAAACTACCCCTTATACCTAAAATACCCCTTACTTATACCTCCTATATGAACGAAACTTTTGTTGCATTCTCATATACCAAAATTGCTCATAAGTCCTACATCAAACAATGATATGTTAACATTACAAAACCATAAATTCAAATAACAAAAACGATGCTTAATGTCTCATACAATATTCAGGAATGTCGAGTACCATAAAGACCCCACTTAAAACAAACACTGATATGTTAACATTACATATACACCCTTAAAACAAGAACTACTCCAAATACAATGCAGTTGCAGCACTACTACCTTCACCTTCAACTACCTTAACAAGCTTCATTTTCAAGATTCTCTCTGATTTTTTTTCTCTGCTTTGGTTAACCTACACTAGCCATCTTCCCAATAGCTTCATTCACCCTGACCACTATTCAGGTGCATTAGCATGCACACTTTGTTGTTCACCTTCATCCACCATAATTGCATCTTCCTCGTCCTTTTGCAAATTGACTGACTCTTGTGTTTGCCTTACCTTTTGTTTCTTTGTGACATTAACTTTAGGTATCCTTTCCACTTGACTACAAGTTCTTTTGTTGTGTCATGCCTGCTTCCATATGCCACAAGTAATCTTTTTCCTGCCTTTGAAACTATATGTTTTCCAGGCCTTTCAGAAGCATCCCTTCTTCTCTTGATGGTTGGTCTGCCTGGTATTCTTCTTTTCACTGGACGTAGTGGGGGTATATACTCTGTAGAAGGATACATGTTGCTTCCATTCATCCCATGTATGGGCTGTTTGTAAGTATTATGGAAGAATGCTCGCAAGTACATTCGGTCAACATATGGGCCATCAGGTGCGTAATCTTTATGTATGCTAATGTTGCTACTGAATGAACATACCCATACCCATTTAGTTTCCATAGCCTGCAACTGCATTCCTTTTTTTGGAACATTAAAATAATATGCCTCGTCCAGTTTCCTTATTTCAAACGCCATCGCCCACAAGATACAACATGCCAATACCTTCATAATGTAATGCAAATCATTAGATTTCACACAATATACTATTGTGTACTGTAATATGTATACATTCCTCTGCTGAGTTTGAATCATATGCAATTTCTCCCTGATGTTTGGACAAACTAATTAATGACCCCATCCTTCTCCTTTAGCTTTCATTGTCACCATCCTTTGCATAACATATATACGAATGTACTCCAACATGCTGATAATAGGTTGCTTCCTAACATCCAATATGACACTGTTAAAGCTCTCTGAAAGCCATTCTCCACATATTCACATGAGGCATGGTGAAATCTACAAAAATCTAAAGACCATGTCTTAGGATCCCTCTCTATTAGATAAGTGAAGGCATCATGGTTTAACTTTTCAGTCTCTTTCATGGTTGCGTTGAAATGAGCTTCAGTTGTTGCATACTAGCTCTCTAAAAAATGTTTTCAAATTGTGCTCCACTAAATCTCTTACTAAAATTGGCATAGATATGCCTAGCACAATGCCCGTTCTCTACTACTGGGAATACATCCTTCACTGCCTCAATCAAACCCTACATACATAACAACATATTATGGAGTTACAATTGAGAATGTGTATTATTATACATTTACAAAATTGAAGCATACCTTGTGTTGATCAGAAATTAAAACTAGCCCAAGACCTTCATTCCAACAATTCAAATATTTTACAAGATTTTCAGTGAACCCTTTCCAATTCTCTTTGTTTTCCACACATACAACATCCCAAGCAATTGGGAATAGTCCTTTGTTACCATCCCTACCCACGACACAAAGCAACTCCCCTTGACAAAAACATTTAAGGAAACATCCAGCCAAGTTAATGATCTTTCTACACCCTCCCCTTCATCAATATTTCACTCCAATAAAGCATACGTAAATCTTGTTGAAGTAGGTCTTATCATCAGGCATTGCATCTACATAAATTTTAACTGTCGAGACAAAATTTGATCTTTTAATCACCTTAGAGTAATTTTCTACAGATGTGCCTTCAATTAGATTCATAGCATACTTCTTGGCTCTTCTACACTGACTCATACTCACATTAATGCCAATTGTGTTTTTCACCTCCTCTCTAAGCAATCTTACACTCATCTTTTGATTGTTCACGAATTCTTGAATAAAATGGGTACCTATCCATTTATAAGTAATAATGGAACCTAATTTGAAATTCTTGGCACAATTATGGTTACCTATGAGAGACTTGATATGGAAAGACTTATCATCAGTCATCCATGAGCCCCAAACCCTAAAATTACATTTTCC